TCATATGGCCCCAGGGGCAGAGCAGCCTGCACAGCGGCCTGGACCTGCTGCAGAGCCTGTTCTTGGTCTGGGCCCCACTCAAAACAAGCAGCTTTCCAAGTCACTCAGTAAATGGGCCGGAGTAAGACACCTAATGAGGAATTGTGGGGAAAAGGGGTCCAGAGGTCTGGTTGATGGCCATGGCGGAGGAAGGAGTCTGAGCAAACTCAGACTCCTCGGCAAACCAAGTAAATCGCCCCACCTAGGCTGTCCTGCTCTATCACTCACTTCCGCAACCCCCCTCCCCCCGCCAATAGTACCACCTCCAAACCACGCCCCTAGCCCACCTCCACTGCCACGCCTCTAGCCTGCTCTATAAAACGCCTGGTACTTTCACAATAAAGTAGATCTGCGCCATCAGCCTGTTCTCCGGTGTCTTCTTTTCACTGTGTCGCTGCTTACCACGGGCCCAGGTCCCTCGACCCCAGGAGGTTCAACCTCAAGGAATGTGTTGCCTCCAAAACCCAAAAAGCCCCACTAGGAGCTGTGCCTCTTTTTTGGTTGTAGGGGAAGCCAGATGCAACAACTTATCTTTTACCTTAGAAGGACTATCTCTACATACTCCACACCACTGGACTCCTAGAAACTTCACCGAAGTAGAAGGACCTTGAATTTTTGTTGGATTTATTTCCCATCCCCTGGCTCTCAAATGCTGTACTAACATATCCAGAGTAGCTGCTACATCCTGCTCACTAGGCCCAATCAGCATAACATCATCAATGTAATGGACCAATGTGATATCTCTTGGGAGAGAAAAATGATCAAGATCCCTATGAACTAAGTTGTGACCCAGGGCTGGCGAGTTAATATACTCCTGAGGTAACACAGTGAAGCTATACTGCTGGCCTTGCCAGCTGAAAGAAAATTGTTTCTGATGGTCCTTATGGATAGGTATGGAGAAGAAGGCATTTGCCAAGTCAATAGCTGCATACCAAGTACCAGGAGATGTGTTAATTAGCTCAAGCAAGGAAACCACATCTGGTACTGCAGCTGCAATTGGAGTCACCACTTGATTCAGTTTACAGTAATCTACCGTCATTCTCCAAGACTCATCCATCTTTTGTACAGGCCAAATGGGAGAATTAAAAGGGGATGTGGTGGGGACCACCACCCCTACATCCTTCAACTCCTTGATGGTGGCACTAATCTCTGGAATCCCTCCAGGAATGCGATACTGCTTTTGGTTTACTATTTTACCAGGCAAAGGTAACTCTAAAGGCTTCCATTTGGCCTTCCCAACCATAATAGCCCTCACACTGCAGGTCAGAGAACCAGTGTGAGGATTCTGCCAAGTACTAAGCAAGTCTATCCCAATTATGCATTCTGGAACAGGGGAAATAACTACTGGATGGATTCGAGGACCTACTGGACCCACTGTGAGTTGGACCTTTGCTAAAACTCCATCAATCACCTGACCTCCTTAGGCCCCCACTCGTACTGGAGGGCCACAGTGACATTTTGTTTTGTTTTGTTTTGTTTTGTTTTGGTTTTTCTCCGGTACCAGGAACCGACTCATGACCTTGCACTTGCCAGGCAGGTGCTTTTGCCGCTGAGCTAAATCCCCAGCCTGCCACAGTGACGTTTTGGATCCCCTGGAATCAGTGTTAGTTCAGAGCCAGTGTCCAGTAGTCCTCAAAATGTCTGAGCATTGCCCTTTCCCCAGTGTACAGTCACTCGGGCAAAAGGCCTCAGGTCCCTCTGGGGAAGAATGGGAGAAAGACTGACTGTACAAATTTTCAACATATCAGGAGTCTTCCCCAAGGGGACTCGGCCGCCCCTTCATTCAAGGGGTTCTGGGTCTGTAAACTGGCTCAAATCTGGGAACTGGTTGAGGGGCCGCGATTCCCTGTTACCATAATCTGAAGTAGGCTTCCGTTCATGTGCCCTTAAATTTTTTCGAGTATACAAATCTAGTAAAAATTTTGTAGGCTTCCTATCTATTTCACTTTTGGGAACACCATGGCTAATGCCACTCCTGGTACCAAAATCTGTATCAGTCAGGGTTCACTAGAGGAACAGATATAATACAAGATAAACAAATGTACAAGGAATTACAAGTTTGGCTTACAATGGTCAGCTACAGAGTTGGATGAGGAAGCGTGCAGACCCTCTGCACGCTGGAGATTGAAGAGCCCAGCCCCGGACCTGGAGCTCTCTGCAGTATCCTTGCAAGTCTGTATCAAAAGGCTGATGGGTCTGCGACAGAATGCTGAAGAATCTACGATGAAGGCCGGAGAGCCAACACCAGAAGGCTGATGAGTCCAGATGGAAGCCCAACAGTCTGCACCAGAAGCCAGAAGACGACCAACCTGAAGGCGAAGACCGGAGCTCCTCTGAAGCAGCCAGTCCTTCCTCAATTCCTTTTTAATGCAGTCTACCCGCTCTGGGGAGGTGGGGGTGGTCCTCCACACCCACACCCTCTGCATGCCTGCCTCTTGCACAGGCTCAGGATGAATACAAAGTAAGCACCCTGGACTCCTTCTGAGTTGCATAGTTAACCTTCTACACTTCTCAAATTAACACAATAAACAACATCCCAGAAGGGTGAGGGCGTGTCCTTTTCACCCCAAGAGGCAGAACTGCTGAGTCGCTTAGCCAAACCTCTGGATTCCCCAAGTTGGCACAGTGTATCAACCATAACACAGGTCTTCGTTGACAGCAATTTAAACCTTACATAGTGTGGTGCCCGACAGGCTACCATAACAAAATACCACAGACTGAAGAGCTTGAACAACAGCAATTCATATTCTCACAATTCTGGAGGGTAGAAGTCCAAGATAAAGGTGTTGATTTGGCTCCTTCTGAGGTTTCTGTTCATGTCTTATAGATATTTGTCTTTTTGTTGGGGGCTTACATGGTCCCCTTTTTAATAGAAGCGCTGCTAGTATCCCTTGTGACCCAAGTCTCCCCTTCTTATAAGGACACCAGTCAGATTGGATTAAGGCCCCCCCGACAGCCTCATTTAACTTAAGCCCCTCTCTATAGGCCCTCTCTCCAAATACAGTCACACATTGCTTAATGATGGGGATACATTCTAAGAGATGCACAGTTAAGGGATTTTGTCGTTGCGTGACCATCTTCGAGTGTACTGACCTAAACCTAGATGGTGCAGGTCAGTCACTTAACACGAGCTCTGATGCATACAAGAAATGCGGTACACACAGCAGTGTGAGATTGCTGTCTGTGTAACACGGCACACTGTCTTAAAGTAAATGATTCTTTGTATAAGTAGAAAGAGTACACACAAGTATAGTATAGCAAATACATAAACCAGTAACATGGTCATTTATATCATTCTCCAGTCTTCTGAGCTGTACCGGACTGTACGTGCTATGCTTTTATATGACTGGCTATGCAGGAGTTTGTTTATACCACCACTGCCACAAACACAGGACTAATGCATTACACTATGAAATTAGAGCACCTACAGTAATGTCACTAGGTGACAAGAATTTTTGATCTTCATTATAATTCAGTGGTGTCACCATGTATAGGTGGTCTATTGTTCACCCAAATGTCATCAGGCAGCCCAGGGCTGTACAGACATACTCTGAGGCACTTTGGGTCAGGGCTCTAACATATGAATTTGGAGAAGTGGAACATAATTCAGCCCATAACACCTTCTACTCATTATATTTAGTAAAAGTTACTACCCTGAATAAATGCTGAGTTTTATCAAATACTTTTGTTTTGAGATAAGGTCTTACTATGTTGTCCACGCTGGCCTTGAATGCCAGGAGCCAGGGATGCTCTGGTTAGCCTCTGAGTTAGCTTGGACTACAGGTATGTACCACTGTGCCCAACCAAATACATTTTAAAATCTATCAACTTTATATGTGATTTTTCTCTTTTAATATACCAATGTGACTATAAGTTATTAATTTTATTTGTGCTAGTACTATTTTTTAATCGACTTATTTTCATTTAAAATTTTTTCCTATTGTTTCTTTATGATATCTTCTTATTTTATTGGTACATTTTATATATACATAATGATAACATCCATCATAGGGAATTTGTACCTATATAATATATATGTATATATATATATCTTGCTGCTTCTTTTTTTCCCCATTCCTCTACCCTGCCTTCAACCTTTCTTCCTCTCCTTATTTACAAAAGCTTTGTTTCCATTGTTTGCTTCTATTCTCTTACTTTTTGTCCCCTTTTTCCTTTCCCACTCTCCCTCCCTTGGTCCCCTTCTCATTTGAACATTTCCTTTCCATTTTCCAATGTCTACTATACATTTTGGTCCTTATTTATACTTTTAGTTTCTCACTCCAGAGAGACAATGTGGTATATAGACATGTGCATCTGATATATTTCATTTAAGAGTATGGTCTCAAGGTACACGCATTTAGCTTATCCCTTTTTATGGCAGAGTAGTACTCCATACAATTAAAAAAAATCCACATCTTCTTTATCCATTCATCAGTTGATGGGTATTTGGGCTGTTTCCAAGATTTAGCTATTACTAACTGTGCTACTATAAACATAGGTTTTTATATATTGCTGTGATATGATGCTTTTAATTCTTTTGGGAAGATACCAAGAAGGGGAATAGCTGGGTTCAATCGGACCTCTAGTTTTAGTTTTTTGAGGAACTGATTTCCATGATGGTTGGAAGAGTCTACACTCCCACCAAGGGATTCCTTTATCCCCACAGTCCCATCAGCATTTGTTATTGGTTAATTTCTTGACAATACCCCATTATTTCTGAAGTGAAATAAAATTTCAGCATTGTTTTAACCTGCATCTCTCAAATGAGCAATGATATTGAAATTTTTTTCAGTATTTATTTCTGCATCTTCATTGGAGAAGTGTCCATTCATTTCAGATGCCATTTTTTGCATTGGATCTTTAAATTTGCAGGGTCTGATTTTTTTGAGTTCTTTATTCCAGATAGTAGTCCTTCATCGGAGGAACACATGGTAATTTTTTTTCACTTTGAGGGCTGTCTCTTCACTGTTGGTGGTTTCTTTTACTGTGAAAAAGTTTTTTAATAATATGAGATCCCAGCTGTTGGTTCTTTTGTGATATTTCCTGTGTGATCAAGGTTTTGTTCATAAAGTCTGCCTACACCAATGTCTTCAAGACATTAAAGGTCTATCTTCCAGAAGATTTAGTGTTTCTGTTTTAATATTTAGGTCTTTGATACATTTCAACTTTATTTTAGTGCATGGTCAAAGATATGGGTCTAGTTTTAATCTTCGATACTGGCATATGGAAGCCAGTTTTTCCAGAACCCTTTATTAAAGAGGCTATCTTTCTTCCAGTGAATGTGTCTGGCATCTTTATCAAAGGTAAGGTGGTTGGGTATGTTTAGAGTTGTTTCTGCATCTTCTTACCTGTTCCATTGATCCTTGGGTTGTTTTTTGTAGTACCATGCTGATTTTATCAAAGTAGCTTTGTAGTACAATGTCAAGTCAAGGATTGTGTTGCCCCCCGCTTTACCTTTGTAGCCCAAGATTGCTTTTGATATTCTAGGTCTCTTCTGGTTCCAAATGAATTTTAGGGTTGTGTTCTCTAACTCTGTGAGCTATGATAATGGTACTTTGATTGGGACTGCATTAGGTCAATGAAGCAATGTTGGATATATGGCCATTTTCACTGTATTGGTTCTTCTTACTCACAAGCAAGAAATATCTTTCCATTTTCTGATATCCTCCTCAATCTCCTTTTTCAGAGTATTATAGTTTTCAATGTAGAAGTCTTTTACTTACTTCATTGGATTGATTCCTAGGTATTTCATTTTTCTTGATATTATTGTGAAAGCTGTTGTTTCCCTAATTTCTCTCTTAGTGAGTTTGTTATTTGTGTATAGGAACACTATTGATTTTTGAATGTTGACTTTGTATCCAGCTATGCTACTGAATTTAGTTATTAAATCTAGAAATCTTTTGGTAGAGTTTTGGGGTCTTTGATGTAGAGTACCGTATCATCCACTAATAATGATAATTACACTTCTTCTTTTCCTACCTTTATTCCTTTTATTTCTTTCTCTTGTCTAATTGCTCTGGCCAATATTTCCAGAACTATATTGACTAAGAGTGGTGATAGTGAACATCCTTGTGTTGTTCCTGATTTTAGAATGAAAGCTTTCAGTTTTTGACCATTTAGTATGATATCGGCTGTTGGTTTGTCATAGCTGGCTTAGACTATCTATTACAATTTTTTGTAGGATTTTTTCATGAATGCATGTTGGACTTTGTCAAATGCTTTTTCTGTATCTGTTGAGATGATCATCTGATTTTTGTCCTTGGCTCTGAAATATGGTATATTACATTTATTGATTTGCATCTCTGCATCCCTGGGATGAATCCTACTTGGTCATTGTGTATAATCTTCTTGATGATTTCCTACATTCTATTTGTGAGTATCTTATTGAGGGTTTTTGTGTCTGTATTCATTAGGTAGATCGGTCTGTAGTTGTTTTTTGGTTGGCTCTTTCTCTGGTCTTGTTTTTTCCTTTTTGGCTTTGTTTAAAATTTTATTTAAAGAGAGTGGTAAATAAGAAAAAAAAAAAAAAACAATAGCAGCATACCAGCATCCCAAACAAACCAAAGCAATGACATTTAAAGTGATACAGGGCTTCAAGACAAAATGATATGAATTAACAGTGGTTGTTATATTACATATTGTTATCTTCAACTAACAATTTCTCAGATTACCAGATGTAAGAATGCAAGATTGTTCAAACCATTAAAGAGAACAAGAAAATAATTATTAGATAAAATATCAGAGATAATACAGAGTTTCACTAGACAAGATGGTAGGAATTCACCATGGTAGTTCCATTGCATATTGTTGCCTTCAAATCAGTTACTCAGATTACCATATATAAGCATGCAAAATTGGTCAGAGCATAAAAATTTTAACCATTAACTATTCCTTTCAGTACACCATCAGACATCAGCAGTACAGTTATCACAGCTATTCATATATATATTTATATTTTTCCTTCTTTTTTTTTTTCTTCTTTCCCTCATTCCAGTCATTCCTTCTTTTGAGCAATTTCTTTCCTTTTCCTATTATCTATTGTACATTTTGAGTTTTACTTATTCTTTCAGGTTCCTTACACCAGGGAGACAATATGACATTTACACCTGTGGGTCTGATTTATTTCACTTACGAGTATGGTCTATAGTTGCATCCATTTACCTATAAAAGCCCCAAGTTCTCTTTTTTATAGCTGAGTAATACTCCACTGTATAAAAATACCACATCTTTTTTATCCATTCCTCCAATGATGGACATTTGTATTGTTTCCAAGATTTAGCTATGACAAATTGTGCGGTTATAAACATAGGTGCACATATATGTTTTCAGTTTTTCTGGAAAAATACTCAGAAGGGGAATAGCTGGGTTAAGTAGGACCTCTAAGCCTAGTTTTGTGAAGAATCTCCACACTGATTTCCACAGTGGTTTCACCAAACTACACTTCCATCAGCAGTGGAGAAGTGTTCCTTTTCCCCCACAGCCCCTCCAGCATTTATTATTGGTTGGTTTCTTGATAACAGCCATTCTTTCTAGAGTGAGATGGAATCTCAGTGTTATTTTAATTTGCATTTCTCAAATGACAATGACTTTGAACATTTTTTCATACATTTATTTGCCATTTGTATTTCTTCAGCTAAGAAGTATGTATTCATCTTAGATGCCCATTTTTGGACTGGGTCTTTGAATTTTTGAGGCCTGATTTTTTTTTAATTCTTTATATGTTCTAGATAAAAGTCCTTTGTCTGAGGGACAATTAGCTAAAATTTTTTCCCAATTCAAGGTTTTATTTTTACTCTACTGGTGATTTCTTTCAATGTG